CTACTGTTCTTCTCTTTCAGGTTATTTCTTTTTCTTTACCTCCCTGTTTCCTTTCCATTATCCTGGTTCCTATAGTTATGTCTGGTTGCATACTTATCAGAGTCTGGTGCTAGGATCCACATATGAGGAAGAACATATGTCAATTTTTTTTTCTGAGTCTGTGTTACTTCACTTAAAGTCACAGTTTCTAGTTCCACCCATTTACCTGCAAATTTCATGATTTCATCTTTCTTTACTGCTGAGTAAAACTCCATCATATAAATGAACCACATTTTCATTATTCACTCATCAACTGAGGGACACTTAGGTTTCTTCCATCTCTTAGCTATTGTGAAAAGAATTTTTATTTGAGATAAACTTTAAAATTCTGCACTTTTGAGTGCATATGGTTTTAGCACAATTCATAAGTATTTCTTATATCACTACTTACCAGCTTGTATTCTGGAACACAGTGATTCCGCTACAGAAAAGTATAGTGACAAGTATTTGAGAAAATTTTCTTTGTGTCTTTTTTTTTAATTTAGGCCCAACAGAAAAATCTAAGAATTAGAGTCGTACAATATATTTCTAAAATTTGCTTGTCATTTATAAATTAAAATTGCATAGCTGCACCAATGTTAACAAATTTAAAAAATTTCACTTATTATTTTTATCTTTAACGTGTATGAATGTATTGCCTACATGTATATAGGTGCAGTTGTGTTATATAATGCTCACGAAGGCCAGAGAGGACATCGGATCCCCTGGAACTGGAGTTATGGATGGTTGTTAGCTGCCATGTGGGTGCTGGGATTCAAACCTGGGTCCACTGCAAGAGCTGTCAGTGCTCTTAACCACTGAGCCAGCTCTCCAGCCCTAGAAATCAAATTTCTATCTGAAAAGTTAGACATACATGCAAAGAACCAATTTCAAAAGTTGCCTTTTTATTCATTATGCTTCATTATGGCTCAGTGACTAAAAGTGCCTTTTGGGAGCATGAGGACCTAAGTTTCAACCTCTGGTCCCCAGCACCCACGTAAAAGCTAGGCATGGTGATGTGTGTCTCTAACCCCAGCACTGGGAAATAGAGACAGGAGGAGCCAGGGACCTGCTGGCCAACTAGCTTAATCAAAGCAGTGAGCTCTAGGTTCACTGAGTGACTGTCTCAAAAAATAAGGTGGAGAGTGAGAGAAGGCACCTGAAGTCGATGTGTGGCCTCCATGCACGTACACATGGTTTGGGGTGAGTGCATGTGTGTGCATATGCGTATACCACAGACATGCAAAGAATAAGTCTCAAAAAGCACTGGTCTACTTGTGCCTAAAAAAAGTTTTGATTTGTCATTTTACCTTTTTTAGTATGGTTAAAAAATAAAAGATGTTTGCTGATAGGAATTTAGTATTTGTTCATTTATTTAAAAAAAAAAAAACCTGCTACCATGTAACTTGTGCAAAGATGTATAAAATACAGTCCCTGACTTCAAAGAGATAGCATTCTAATAAAAAACATTAAAAGTATGCATACAAGGTGCTGAAGGGGTTCTGATAAGGAAGCTGTTGCCCTGTTTCTTCTTTGTGGAGGGGCAGGAGAGGCAACTAGGAAATAAAGTAAGATGGGTCTTGTGGAAAAGGTACTCAAGTATTTGTGATGTTTCCTATCTCCTTTTGTGCAGTTGAGAACTCTGAATATCGTTGCCTCCAGTGCCAGTGTGGCAATGTCCCTGGACACAATACTAGCATTCTCTTCATCTACAAGTTAAAGTTTGAGCATTCCTCACAACTTGTTCCTTTAGTCTTTATTTTCCAAGCCTTTGTTTCTACAGAACTATAAGATGTGGGGAAAGAAGTATGTGATTCATTTTGCCCAGCAAAGTATTATAAGATATTCAGCCTATCTAGAGTTCCCTGTTTTAGGAAGATCAGCTCTTCCTCATCTAGCAGCAAGCAGTTGCCAATATTTCTTTTAGATAAGACTGGGGTCTGCTGTTCATTTTCCCAGTTCTATGCTGGGTTACTGTCTGACAGTCTCTTGGGCCACCCTGGCCAACAACTCAAAAGAAGGATGGACAAGCACTGGGGAATGGCTGGGAGCACTGACAACACATTAGACAGTAACAGTGATGACAGAGTATATGGGCTCCAGTGGGGAAGGGGGCTATGGGAAGGTGCCACTTGGGATGTGGGTATATAGATGAATAAGATTGTCTGGGATGTTCTGTATGAAATACACACACACACAAAAATCAATTTAAATCAATTTAAAATCAATTAAAATCACAAATAAAAAAATGAGTTATATTTGAGAAAGAAGCATAAAAATTTGCTTCATGTTAATTAGTAGATGCGAAAAACATTACAATTGAAGTTTACCTGATGACTTTATATCCATGCTCAGGTGCCAAGGATCTCAGAAAGTAACTGACTGTGTTAGTTGCATTAAAAATGAGTTTTTCTGTATGAAACAGGATATTTTAAAATGAAATGGAGATCCTTTTTAAAGGTTAAAACCTCATTCAATTTTATGTCTTACAGGGTTTATACTGAGTACAACAGAGTATAACTGTATTAGTTCAACTGTAAACCTAAAAATTTACAGCCAATTTTGAAAGAGATGCATCTTAGCTCTGGAAATTGTTACTGAATATGTCAATGCTGTTGTAATGAAATGCTTCTAATTATGTGATTATTAAATAATTTTTTTTAAGTATTATAAAATAGTACAGTATCAATTTGATCTGTGCCTACATAGAAGAGGCAAAAAAAGTCCATGCAAAAAGTGGTCAGAATGAACAAAACAGGAAGAAAAAAGTGTACACAGGGTTTAGTAGGTAACTGGTGAGGGGTTCAATTTAGCTAAGAGGCAGAATCTGGTGCATCATGGAAGATTGGTACAACAGACCAGGTGGAATCTTGGAAGGTCTTTATTACATAAGCATGAGTGTGTACTTCTTTGATAGGCAGTACTTTGCCACTAAATGGTTTTGTATGGATATAGCATATAAATTTTTATTTCAATGAGCACATTTCTATGGATCCTCAGATCTTCATTTCTAGGTTATAAATGGAAGTTAAAGAAATTATATTAATTTTTAGTGTCTTCGGCACTACTATTGAGCTGAGGTACTTGTCTTTTTTGATTAAAAATACATTGAAATCTACTTTTTCTTTACCACTGACTTATATTTTTGGTGTGCTCAGTAAAGTTAAAATTATCATTTCCCCTTCAGGTAGTTCTCTATGCTTCTAAGTTTACTAAAAATGATAACAAAATGTTTTTTTTTAATCTGAGAGTCACTGAAATATTTGGTTGTTATTCTTTGTAAACAACGAATGTCTCAAAGTGACTTGATGCCCAAGTTACCACTCACTTACTCATTCACTTTTTTGGCAAATACATATGGAGAGCTTATTACCTGCCCAGAAATACTTTTCAATGACAATTTGTTGGTGATCAACATAACAAAAATCTTCACCCCCATGAGGTTTATACACTGAGGTGGGTGAAAACGGCAATAAACAATTAAATGAAATAAACATTGACTAGTGATAATGTTGTAGAGAAAAACAAAAGCACAGTAGACTGGACACGTGGGAGCGGGCAGAGCCATGGCTGTCATTTGATATAGTGTGATCACAAATTGAGTTTTGAGTAGAAGCATGAAAGAAACTGCAAGGAAATACACATTTTTGCAAGTAGTGCTTGGCAAAAAGTTTAGAATAGGGTTGGCCTAGATCACCAAGGAGGAAGTGGAAAACAAGGCTTGGAGAGGTGAGGTGGCTGTCAGAGGGCTTTGCAGGCCATCCCATTCAAAATGCTGGTTTTCATCCTGACTGAAATGAAGACGTCAGCTTCAGTATAACAGAACATTCAGTCTACTCAGCTCACAACAGACGGAAGGAGGAAGGTTTGAAAACACAGAAACTAGTCAAGAGATTGGCAATGTAACCTATGTGAAAAATGAGTGGCTAGGACTAATGTGGAAGAAAAAGTAGTGAGAGATAACTGCACATATTGTGAAGACAGAGTTGACAGTGTGATGCTGAAGGAGTAGTCGGTGGTGGCTACCAAAAGTTTCGGTGAGAGCAAATGGAAGGACAGAGTTGCCATTTCCTAAGGAAGGTTACATATGTTCATTTTTAGACTATTTTCTATTTATTTTTATTTTATGTATATGAATGTATTGCCCACATGTGTATAAGTGCACTCATGTTGTGCAGTGCTCATGGAGGTCAGAAGGCAGCGTCGGATCCCCTGGAACTGGAGTTACAGATGGTTGTTAGCTGCTGAAACTGAAGCCACTGAAGCTGACCTTCAAATTCATTCCTAAAGTTTGTACTCCTTTCCTGAACTTCAGACTCATACCATCTTAGCATCTCCAATTTGGTTTGTAATAGGGTTTTTTTTAGTTGTGTTTTCTGACGGATTAGGTCAATTTATTAAAATAGTCAACTTATGGGGCTGGAGCAATGGCTCAATGGTTAAGAGCACTGGCTGCTCTTACAGAGGACCCGGATTCAATTCCCAGCACCCACATGGTGGCTAACAACTGTCCATAACTCCAGTTCCAGGGGATCTGACACCTTCTTCTGACCTCTGCCGGCACTGCACAACATGGGTGCACTTACATACATGCAGGCAATACACTCATACACATAAAAAAATATTTTAAAAACATAGTCAAGTTAGTCATCTGCAACAGTTACTTCAACATCCACCCACTCCTGACTCAGTATTGATGGAAGTAATCTGCTTAATAATCTCAGAAGGACTTTGTAAATCAAATGACAGACTTCATTTAAAATAATACTTTTTATTGTAGCAGCTATTTATTGAATGTATCTACTTAATGCTTGCCTGTGGCTTCTGTAAGGTTTTAAGTCTACCAAGATTGATGAAGCAGAGCAATGTCTCTTAGTAACTGAATAAAAACCATGCTATGCCTACAAAGATAACTCAATGGAACTGCTGTTATATAAGGTCAAACTGAATTGGACAATAATCAGCGTGTAGCATAAGCATACCTGTTTATGTTTTGAGGGTGGTTTTTTTTCAAGTAACTTTTTATCTCCATATTTTTTATGTGTTAAAGGCACTCCATATTTAGCAGCAGGCTTTGTGATTTTCTGAGCTGGGACAAGAGAAACCAAGCTTTGTCCTGACGCTGGTCTTTTACCTATATAAAAAGACAGAATTTTTCAGTAGTTCTTTATGTTAAATCTTTAATGTCAAAATTCTTCAAAATAATGCTATATTTTCACAATCATTGACAGCCTTTGAAACTTAATTAATATCCATTCTTTAGACATTATCAATGCCTCAAGAACTTTACATTAAAACTATTTTTTAAAGATATGAGACAAGGCAAAACCCCACACAAAAGTCATCTCCAAATGGATCAAAGACCTCAATATAAAACATGAAACTTGGAAACTGCTGGAAGAAAACACAGGCAGCACCCTCCAAGATATAGGCATAGGGAAGAACTTTCTAAATCAGACACCAGCTGCTCAGGCACTAAGGTCAATAATCAGTAAGTGAGACCTCATTAAATTACAACTAAGGAAGGGAAGAGAAAACCCACAGAGAGGGAGAAAATCTTTAGCAGCTACATGTCTGACAGAGGATTAATATCCAGAATATACAAAGAACTTAAAAAAGAAAGAAGAAAAATGAACCAATAAAAAGATGGGAGATAGACCTAAACAGAGAGCTCTCAAGCGAAAAAATAAAGATGGCTAAGAAGCACCTTAAAAAGTGCTCAACATCCTTAGTAATCAGAGAAATGCAAATTAAAACCACTTTAAGATTTCATCTTACCCCAGTCAGACTGGCCAAGATCAAGAGAATGGAAGACTCCAAATGCTGGAGAGCATACGGATAAAGAGGAATGCTCATTCACTGCTGGTGGGAATGCAAACTCGTGCAACCACTATGGAAAGCAGTGTGGAGAACCCTCAAAAAATTAAAAACGAACCTACCATATGATCCAGTGATACCACTCCTTGGCATATACCCAAAGGATTCATCATACTGTAGAGATACCTGTGCACCCATGTTTGTTGCTACTCTCTTCACAATAGCTAAGAAATGGAAACAACCTAAATATTCCTCAACTGACGAATGGTTAATGAAAAGGGGGTACATCTACTTAATGGAGTTCTACTCAGCAGTAAGAAAAAATGTATATCAGAGTGTGTTACATACAGAAGGCCTCAACTGGTCAAGTTTTGGAAAATAAGAGACTGTAGAGTGTAGGGGATCATTGTGGAAGAGGCGGCAGAAAGATTCTAAGAGCCAAGGCTGGTTCATGATTACAGGGAGGTAGAGGCTTCCAGGCCACTGGAGCTTGCTCATTGAATGCAGGGACCCATATCAGCTCAATTAAACAAGGGCCCAAGGGGAGGTGAGAAATAGGTGGTGAGTCAGCACTAGACTGAGAACTATTTGAGACTGATTGCTGGTGGGCGAGGGAGAGTCTGACTTATAACCACTGATGGGTTGATTAGACTCCAGTGGACGCATTTATACTGAAGGACATTTGGGTACAAATACCTCAATGAATAGGATTCAGCATGTATGGCAGAGTGCATAGGGTTTGATGGGGGAATAGGGGGAGGCATGGATGGGGGATGGGGGATCTGGATTTGAGTGGGAAATGTATGAAATTTTAAAAGCTCAATAAAAAAATATAAAAGATATATGTATGAGACAAACTCAAGATAACAAAATTTCTTAATTAAAAAAATAATATCCTGAGAGTAAGAAGATAGCTCAATGATAAAGTGCTTGCCTTAGAAGCAGCAGAATCAAATTTCATTATCCCCCAGGGGCCAAGAGAGGTGGCACTTGCTTATAATCCCAGTACTGGGGAGGTGGAAACAGGTAGACCCATGGAGCTCATCCGCCAACCTTATTGTGAGTTCCAGGCCAATGACAGACCCTGTCTCAAAGGAAGTACATGGCATTCCTAAGGATTATACCCAAGGACATACATCCTCTGGCCTCTACACACACACACACACACACACACACACACACACACACACACAAAATCTCCTTAAATCGAGTGTAAGAGATAACAGTAATATCCATCTGTGAATATATTAAAAAATTGAGTTGTATAAGTAAATGGATAAAATATATAGTAAAAATTATATAGTATATGAATTATACACCAAAGTTGTTAAAAATGAGTTTTAAGAATTCATGTTTTATAAACTGTTTTCAAGAACAACTGTTAAACAATATTTCCATCACTATGAGCAATTTTTTCCTTCACATGTATTTTTTGTATTTATATTATATGTCTTTATTACAGAAATTTTATTTCATATTATGTAACAAATAATTTCAGGTATACAAATATGTTACAATCTGATAATACAGAGGAAATTAAGTTGAAATAAAATTCCAAGAAGCAACTGCAATATAGTTGTTGAGAAGAGGAGAGTACAAATCTCTATGGTTGTTTTGAGTATCAGTGCTGACTGGGAAGTAAGATATGACCACTTCATTTAAAAATGTCAATATTTCAAATTAAACAGATATTTCATTTTTAAATTTAAATAAAATATTTCAAGACAAATGGTAAAAATACAAAGGATACAGCAGGAAGAGGATAGAGGAGTTAACAGATCACTGAAGTAAGTTGTTCAGTGTTTTTACTTTGACCTGAAAGACAGCAATATAATTTTAAGCAATCAAATCCATATACTAATTTTTATGGTAAAGGGGAGAAATTTTTGTAAAATTTACTTTTAAAATGTTCAGTTAAATTTGAGGGATCACTGTTGTGCTGGGTAGCTTTAGTGTCAACTTGACACACCTGGGTTGAGGGAGCCTCAATTGGGGAATTTCCTCCAAAGGACTGGCCTGTGGCCATGTCTGTGGGGCATCTTCTTGATTGTTGAAAGATGTGGGAGGGTCCAGCACACTATGGGTAGTGCCATCCCTGGGCAGGTGGGCCTGTGTTGCATAAGAAACCAAGCTGAGCAGGGGCCAGTGGAGCAAACCTGTAAGCAACGTTCCTGCATGGCCTGTGCTCCAGCTTCTGCCTCCAAGTTCCTGCCTGAGTTCCTACCCTGATGAACTGTGACCCGGGAGATGTAAGCTGAATAAAGCCTTTCCTCCCCAAGTTGGTATTGGTCAGAGTGTTTTGTCACCACAATGGACAGACAAACTAGGATAAATGTCTATATGAGACGACCCACTGAGATGCCTTTGTGTGTTCTTCACAGATATTTTAAAGGATGTGCATACCTATAGACCTACTGAAAAAAACTTTAAAACATTCATTAGCAAAATAAGTGTTTTGTACACTGTTGACAGAAATATAAATTAACTAAACTTTCTGGAGGGCAACCTATGTGAAGGATATTTGTGAAGAAATAATCATAGAAACATAAACATTTATGGACAATAAAACTCTAGAGGATTAAGTATTTAATCACTATTAAGCCTAGATGAGGCTCAGTTTTAGCTAATAAGTTGAGGGAAACAAACTAAGAAAGTTCTATTTATGCACATGGCTCAAGAATATTACAAAAGTCATGCACACTGGTGACCCCACCAGGCTGCAATGCAAAGTCCCAATCCCCATCACACATGTGGCTCTGGGTAAACCAAATGGGTCAAAAACCAAACCAAAAGTTATGAATCTAGAAAAGGGACAGAGAGCAAAGAATGTGAGTTGATAGGAGTGGAAGGGAAGTAAGAGAGGGTTGGGGGAAGTGAGCACAATGCACTATGTACATTCATGACATTGTTGATGAACTAATTTAATAATAAAAATAAAAAAACAAAATGAATCTCATAAAACTCCAGAAAATAGAGAAACTTCTATTTCAAAGACGCCCCCCTACACACACAAAATCACACACACACAAAATACTGCAAGAAGTGAAAGAGCACAGTCTGTGCCTGACCTCCAGACCCCATCTATGATGTTAGCTCTGCTCCAACTCTCCAAGTCTGAGCAAGCTTGCTCTCCTCTTCCAGCCCACTCTCTAAACAGACTTTCCATGTGTTAACTCAATTCAGTCATTCTCTCCCCACAAGTATTCTTTCTTTAGGAGAGGAAAAATATTAATGGTAGTTTTCAATGAAATACTACCATTAAATTCAGATCGTCAACAAAAATTTAATTACTACAGATTTTATTGGAAAATTTTCCTTATGTATTTGTGTTGATGAACCTTTACCATACAATCTCATTCAAAGTCAGTGTACATATGTCATCAGGAAAAATATATCAAATTTGAGTGCACATTAAAATTGGGGTAATTTTTCTTTAAAAATTTTTTATAATGAACACACATTCATATTAGTAAACTTGTAAAACTAAAAATAATACTGGCCACTTGGATGACATATTAGAGATTCAGAAGTAATTTATATTGATAATATGAGATACAATGTGATAGGGTAAGGTCTTCCAAACACAAATTATAAGCAAATCCTGACCCAGAGACTAGGAAGTATAAGAAATTCAAATGTATGATTCAATTAAGTAGTTCTAAAGAGTCACGATGCTGTAACTTGGCTAACTGTATTAAAATAACAAGAGAAATATTATGCTGGAAAAAGAACTGGAGGCACAACATCATAAAAATGGACATTCTCAATACAAACATGTAAACTGTTCTCAGCTAGTCTAGAAAAGAGGATTACTTACCTGACTTTAGAACTTCTCAGGCACCAAGTCAAGGCCACCTCTAGCTTAATGTAGCGGGGCTGGAACCCACAAAGTATTTATAAGCATGTCAGCAACACCATTCTTTTTTTGGTTCCATATTACTGAACATTTATCCATCTCTTTTTACAACAAACAGCTTTCTCCTTCCTAATTCCTACCCAGCCTTACCCCCTGTAAAGAATGTGTCTATTGGCATTTAGGTCCTGAGTTTAATCCCCAGCACTTAAAAAAAAAATTCTAAATTTAGCAGGTCTTCTTGAGCAAACACTGCAATATCATTTCCATTTTATATAGACTCATTTTTTATAATACGGTATTTATTTGTATCACTTTATCCAACTCAAAATATAAAGTATCACATTTTTTTACCAGAAAAACAAAAAAGTTAAAAGACCAAAATCTATTCTGAATTGATCTTATATAGGAACAAATTACTTGCCTCTCACAGAAGTATGTGTATAATATATAAAAACATTTATAATTCTACAAATATTCTGTTGCCAGTGAAAGAATACCTATTCCTTAATAAAATGGTTGCTCTCACAATAATTTACTAAAAAATTTTTAGAATATGGACTGGAGAAATGGCTCAGTGGTTAAGAGCACTGGGTGCTCTTGCAGAAGATCTGACACCCTCTTCTGACCTCCGCAGGCACTGCATGTCACGGATGCATCCACCTACATGCAGGCATTACACTCATACACAGAAAATAAAAATTTTAAAAGCCATTTTAGGATATGAACCACTTCTTAAAGAAAAATGTTTTATATAAAGATTTACACCTCAACTAGACATTTTATAACATTCTACATGTTCTTAAAATACCAAATGAACATTTGATACAGATATAAAATTTCAAGCCAGATTTCATCTAAATAGGACAGCCGTTGGGCATGGTGGCACACACCTTTAATCTCAGTACTAAGGAGACAGAGGCAGGAGAATCTCTGTGAGATCGAGGCCAGCCTGGTCTGCATAGTGAGTTCCAGGCCAGTGGGGCTGCAGGGAGACCCTACCTCAAAAAGACCAAAAACAGAAACTTTAACAATTTATCAAATTATTGCATATTATGTCATAAATAATTTTAACATTTACTTCCTCTAGAAATTTAGTCTACAATCATTCCAAATTATCTTCTCAATATTTATTTGTAGTATAGCTAACTTTGAGTACCATAAACAGATGAAAAACCTCATATGACATGTCATTTACCTGGTAAAGGCTGTGGTCCAAACTTTGAAATTGTTTTTTGACAAAATTCCTCTGCAATAAGCTTAGATTGAAAAAGAATTTAAAAAAGAATAAGTTAGAAAATATACAGTTTCCACAACACAAGAAAAAGCTACCCAGTAATCACAATATATTTTTCTCTTTCAATCATAATGATGTTGCTTAATAAACTGAATAATTAAAACCCATTCAGCAAATTCTCATGCTAACTATCCACTCCTTCTAATCTTACAAATGCATTGCTTTTCCAGTCATTCTTTCTCAAGCTAGACCAACATACAACACATATATTACATGCCTTTTCCATATCTCAGTAATTTAACAAAACTACATATGTGGACTGATCATTGTCTTCTATATGCATTCATATCCCTTGTTTGTTTCAAAACCATTCACAAGGGGCTGGAGAGATGGCTAAGTGGTTAAGAGCACTGGCTGCTCTTACAGAGAACCTAGATTTGGTTCCCACCACTCACATGATAGTAAAGCCCCATCCTTAACTCTGGTTCCAGGGGATATGATGCCCTCTTCTGGCCTCCAAGGTACTAGGCACACACAGTGCACTTACATACATGCAGGCAAAACACTCATACACATATAATAAAAAAAAAATTAAACTGTTTGAGAGTCACATCAAAAGAAACTTTCTCTGAAACAATTATTTTAAGTCTTCTCTGAATGATCTTAGGACCTGCAATGAATTCATGCTCATAACTGCTAATATGCTATTTTATATTTCTTACAGTGTCTCTTTTAACATTATAAGCCTTCCATTACTTATTCCTGAGCACTTATAAACATTTTGTGAAGCAAATACTTACACTTGCCACATCCTTTAACTCTTTTTTCCAATGCAAAACTGATCCCAACAAAGATTTAACTCAATTTAAGCTTATTTTTTTAATCTCATTTGTAAAGAAGGAAATACCAAGTGAATTTTCCCATTCTTCAAGAGAAGTAAGGTGCAGGAGAAAGAATATTCCCACAGCAACAGTAGACCAGATGCCCAATGGGCAAAAGCCTCTATGATCTGGGACTATCCTTTCCCACTGAGGATCCCCTACAGAAGTTATTTTCAGTGTCTCAAACCAGCCTCTCTGATCTCACCAGCCTTATCAATATGCAAATTCTTAGCTCTGTCTCAGAATTACTGAAGCAGAGACGACAGTAACTGGACCCAGCAAAGTCCTCCAGGAGATTCTGTGTAATAAATTTTGGGAACCAGTACAGAAAAAGATAAACATGAATGAACCCAGCATGGTGGCACATGCTTTAACCCCAGCACTCAGGAGGAAGAGACAGGTGGATCTCTGTGAGTTCAAGGTCAGTCTGGTCTACATAGTGAGTCCCACGTCAGCTGAACTATAGGGAGGCCCTGTCTCAAAAAGACCAAAAGAAAAACAAAAAGATAAACATGAGGATAAGTTTGGTTCAAAGATAATTCAGAGCAAGTATGTGAGCATGTTTTCTCCTCTGAACATATACATTTTTTCTTCTCTTTCTTAGAAGAAACCAGTATCTGGTTTTCTATGGAACTGGTGATAGAACCTCTGGCTTCATTCTATCTCAGCTAAATTCCCAGTCTTCCTTCTCCTGCTGCTCCCCACCTCTTTATTTATGCTTACTTTATCTCTATGAGTATTCTGCCTGCATGTAAGTGCACCCATGTTGTGCAAAGCCTACAAAAACCAGAATAGAGCACCTGATCTCCTGTGACTCAAGTTACAGACCGTTGTTAGCCCCATGTGGGTGCTGGGAACCAAACCTGGGTCTTCTGTAAGAGCAGTCAGTGTCTTTAGTTGCTGAGCCATCTCTCTATTGAGTTGGTTTTTATTTTGACATTTTGGCATAGGGTTTTGTTAAGGTGCCCAAGCTAGTCTTGAACTTAGGATCTTCCTGCCTCAACTTCTTGAGCAGCTGTAACTTAGCGTTGTTATCACTAGACCTGGCTTATTGAGTGCTTTATAACCTCAAACTTGCTCCCCAACTGAATAATTTCCTCAGTTCTTTGTATGTTTATCTAAACTGAGAAATAGCATGCACAGATCCAAGTAGATTCTGGAATCTTAATGGTATGCTATCCAATGTAAAAGCCACCACCATGTGGCTATCTGAATTAAAAGTAAATTATATTAAAAATTTTAAACTTACTTCTTTAGTCATACCAATACACACTCCCAGTATTCAACAGGTGGCCAGAAGCTATGATACTGGACAATTTAGATATGGAATTTTCTTTTTTTCTGTTTTCTTTTGGTCTTTTGAGACAGGGTCTCCAGCTGGCCTGGAACTCACTACGCTGACCAGACTGACCTTGAAATCAGAGACTCACCTGCCTCTGCCTTCCAATTAATGGTATGTACCAACTCACTTGGCCAATATGGAGTATATTTGTCATCAGAGTTGTACCAGACAGTAACTGTATTCTTAATGATTCAAAGCTTATCCATGATTTGTTAAGCCATGTGCAGAATAATAGCTGCCAGGCTACAAGACTGAGAGCCAGGTTCTACAAACTTTGGCTAAGGGCACTGAGAGAATTAATGATTTTAAAAATAGAAGTTATTGGCCAGGCGTGGTGGCACACGCCTTTAATTCCAGCACTTGGGAGGCAGAGGCAGGCAGATCTCTGTGAGTTCAAGGCCAGCCTGGTCTACATAGTGAGTTCCAGGACAGCTGGGGCTACAGGGAGACCCTGTGTCAAAAAGACCAAAAAAGAAAATAAATAATAAAAGTTGTCTTGTAATCCCAGCATTCACAAGGCTGAGGAGGAAGATCATGAGTTTGCAGCCAGTGCAGGCTATATAGAGAGATCCTATCTCACAAAATATAAATAAAATAAAATTTTTTCAGAGTATTATAGTGACACTAGAAGCAATAGTTCATGTTAAAGTTAATAAATTTTTTCAAAGCTATAGTCTTAAAAATGTATCATAAACCACCTCACTTGAATACTGAACAAGTAAATAAACCTAAAAAACAAAAGGTGCAAATTTTCTCAAGGAATGAAATCCAAGTGGTACTTAACTAGCAGCAAGGAGGGTTGATATACATATGTACCAAAAATGTAATGTCAAATTCTGTTATTCATCAGAATCTGCCTCTTTTGCATATATGTAAGTTGGTAATTGAGGCTTCAACTTTTTCTCTTTCATTGCTGGGTAGTTGAATTCCAGTTCTTTGGCCTTGAGATGGTATGTCCTAACTACTTACATTGGCCGGGGGAGGGGGCTTCAGTAAGAGTAAATGAAGTCTTTGTTTCTTATCTGGTAGCGGCCCCAAACCCAACAGTACACTACATCTAAACAGCCCTTGAAAAAGTTATTTTAACAAAGAACTCTTGTAAAACAGTACAATTCAGAGACTGTTGCTATGTTTTATACAAGTAACCTTTAACCTCCAAATTTTAATAGGCTTTTCTGCTTACTAATACATTCTTTTGGCATTAATAGTTAAATCCACATCTCTTGTTTTCTGAAGAGTATTTGTTCACAGGAATGTTCTGTTAAACCAGAAGCATATATAAATAATAGGATTATATTTTTGGTACATATTTACAGAAGTATTAAATGGTGATTATTTAAATTAATAGAAGTCACAACATAAAAAGTAAAATAATTCCAATTTCCAAGTGATCATATCTTTGAGTAACTGATGCTATTCAGCAAGTTGTTTTATAAAACTTGCCAGATTAAAATTCACCTCTATAAAGTATATGTTCTGCACCAATATTTGAGTACTAAAGGAAAAATTATGAGACAACAATTAAGTACACACATATATATGCCCACAAAACAATGGATTCCAATCAGATTCTGTCAAATATAATTTAAATTATGTAAATTATACTGATGCTTATTCATTAGTATAATGAATTAACATGCTGATAATATATATATTGAATACTCTGAGAACTTAAGTGCTAGACATTAAGCAGTATATATGTACATTGTCACTTAATTCTCATAGGCATCTCACATAAATATACCTATTATTTACAGGTTACAGGTATGAAAAGTGAAGCACTGAACAGCTTAATAATTTCACAGTTCAAAACCCAAGGGACAGAAGACTGATGTACAATTCTAAGGCAGGTAAGAATAGAGCATATAAGATGAAAAGTGATGACAACAGTTTGAGAAGGGCATCCCACCCTCTGATTCTGAGGCTCTCACTTTAACTCTACTGTTAAAACACCATAACCTTCCTGCTTAAGTTTAATGACATATTTTACAATACATACCTGAGGTGAGAGAAACTTTTCAATGCGTTTGGCTATAAAACCTTTCTCCAATATGGAGTTGACTGATGGTCTATCCCTAGGATTTCTTTTAAATAACTGAGAAAGCAAACTGCGGAGATCATAGGAATAATGCAGAGACACAGGTGGGAAGGATCCAGATATTATCTTCAGTACCAGGTTTTTCATATTTCCAGCTTCAAACTAAAATCCAGAAAATAAATCATTAAATATGAAAATACAGAAACCAAACTTGAGCAATCATCCTTTTCCAATGAATACAAAAGAAAAATACAAACCTGTCCCAAATAATTTAACCAGTAAACTTTCTGTATACTTTAAAAACCCAAGGGACAAAGGATGATGTACAACTTCAAGGTAGGTAACAATAAGAGTCATGGCCTGGCATGGGGGCACACGCCTTTAATGCCAGCAGAGGCAGGTGGATCTCTGTTAGTTCAAGTCCAGCCTGGTCTACAAAGGGAGTTCCAGGAGAGTTGGGGCTACAGGGAGACCCTGTCTCAAAAAGACAAAACAAACAAACAAACAGAAAAGTAATCTGATTGATAAATTAGAATAAGGCTTAGAGAGAAACAACAAATTCAGGTAGCCATTTCTTGTTAAAACTGTTTATGGTATTTATTTATTTTGTTGCAATTTTGTGTATTTTCTGAATTTTTTGTAATGAAAATACAATACTGTTTAATCTGTGATAAAAACATGCTTATAAAAGGATTTAAAAATTTAAAAGTCAGGTGTAGTGGCACACACCTTTAATCTCACCATTCAGGAGGCAGAGACAGGCAAATCTCTTCAAGTTTAAGGCCAGTCTGGTTTACATAGCCAGTGCCAGGCTAGCTAGAGGTACACAGTGAGACCCTGTCTCAAAAATTAAAATAAAGAGTTTGAAAACTGGGCTGGAGAGATGGCTCAGTAGTTTAAGAGCACTCACTGCTTTTTGAGAGGGCCTGAATTTGGATCCCAGCACCCATGTGGCAGCTCACAACCATCTAAACTCCAGTTCCAGGGGATCCCACATAGTCTTCTGGTTTCCATGGGAACCAGGCACACATGTAGTATACTTACATGTATGTAGGCAAAACACTAATACACAAAATTAAAATAAATAAAATCTTTAAAAACTAGATTAAAAATGAAACGGTTATCAATAATAATTCCATTTAGGACAAAAATTTTATATTATTTCAAAAACTACTTAATAAAGGGCTAGGGAGATGCTCAGCTGGTAAAGTGACAAGTATAAGGACTAAGTTTGAATCCCCAGAACACATGTAAAAAGACACTCTAGTAGGGCAGGTTGTGGGTGGAGATATGCCTAAAGCTCACTGACTGCTAGCCAGCCTAGGCAAACTGACAAGCGAGTTCTCCAAAAAAAAAAAAAAAAAAAAAAAAAAAGGCAAAGATGGAGAACAATCGAGACAAGACACCAGATATTGAGCTTGGGCCGCTATGGGCACCTGCAACCTCTAACATGCATGCATATGTGCACATGCACACACACCACACTGACAAGAACACACACACCAAACACACAAATATAAACACAAATTACTTGAAGAATAGATTGAATAAAAAATACATTGAGGGGCTGGAGAGATGGCTCAGCAATTAAGAGCACTGACTGCTCTTGCAGAGGACCCAAGTTCGATTCCTAGAACCCACATGGCGGCTACAAATCATCTTTAACTCCAGCTCTAGGGAAATCCGAGCTCTCTTCTGACCTCCGTGGCATTGCATGACACAGGTGCACTCACATACATGCAGGCAGTACACTCATACACATAAAATAAAATAATAATAAAAAATTTTTTAAATACATTGAATAAAATTCTTTGAATTTTTTCTTCTCTATATTGGAAGTTTATTCTTAAAAATAAACATCCCAGTTATCACAGAAAATTCTTCAAATAGTTTCTAATTATAATTTCAAATAATTTGGGTGTTCTTTATTCAATTTAATTTTCTTAAGAGAGAATCTTGTTATGTAGCCAAGACTGGTCTTGAACTTGCAATTTTCTGCCTCAGACTCCCAAATGCTAAGAGTACAGGCTTTCCCATCAAACTCAGCTTAATACAGTATTTTGAAAGAACTTGCTAAAATAAAACTAAAAAATGTTTGAGTAGACCCTGATGTGGTGGTACATGCCTTTAACCCCAGCACTCGGGAAGCAGAAGAAGGTGGATCTCTGTGAGATCAAGGCCAGTCTGGTCTACATAGGGAGACCCTGTCTCAACAAAAGACTATATATATATATATATATGGTTAAAACATTGAATTCATAATAGATAAATTTACATAAAGAGGAATGAAATCTATTTGTATCATTAGAAATTGTGTTTGAGAGGGCTGGAGAGATAGCTCAGTGGTTAAAAGCACAGGTTGCTCTTGCAGAGAACTGAGGTTCAGTTCCCAGCACCCACATGGCAACTAACAATGGTCTGTGGTTTGAATGAGAATGTCCCCCATAGGCTCCAAGTATTTGGACATTTTTATCCCCAGTTGGTGGTGCTGTTTTGGGAGGTCTTAGAAGGTGTGGCCACGCTGGGGGTGGGCTTAGAGAGTTCTTAAGCCTTGCTGGATCATGAGTCACTCTCTGCTTCCTGTGTCTGCTTGAAGATGTGAGAGCTTAGCTTCTGCTTCTGCTCCAGCCTGCTCCAACCACCTCCTGCCACCATGCCTCCCTCCATGATGGCATGATGGACTCTTGTACCTTTGGAACCATAAGCTAAATACACTTTTCCTTTTATCAGTTCCCTTGGTCATGGTGTTTCTATCACAGCAATAGAAAAGTGACTAATACAAACCCTCTTCTGACCTCTGCGGACATTGCACGACATGGTTGCACTTATATACATGCAGGCAATACACTCATACTCATTAAATAAAAATAATAAAATATTTTAAAGAAATGATGTTTGAGAAAAAAACAAAACAAAATATAACAGTAAATATATAACATAGTAAATCAGTTTATCTTTCAGAAAATAAGAAAATTTAAAACTGAGATAAAAACTTCTCATCCATAAGCATTATCTGAAAAATGCCACAATTTTTTTAAAAACTCAAAACTTTTACTTACTGCATGTTTAAGTGTACACAATTCATAAAGGACACAGCCCAAAGCCCAAATGTCACTGGAGAAAACAGAAGTGAGAATTCTCTTCTTAACATAAAAATATACTTAAATTTTTTTTCAATTAAAGGAAACACAAGCAGCATGAAAACACTTGGGGAAAATACATGCTCTATAAAGTATTCTTTACAACTCCAAATTTTAAACATCACTAAATGACAAGTGTTGTTGTCTGCAATTAGAAAAAGAAGGGTTACCTAAGCAATTACTTTGAAATTTCATTACAGAATTTAATTTTTGGAAGAATCATATTGAAAGTTTCATTCCATTTATTTTTTATTTTGCAAATTTCAACATGTTTTACTCAATTATTCTTTTTTTTTTTTGGTGTTTTTGAGACAGGGTCTCCCTGTAGCCCCAGCTGTCCTGGAACTCACTATGTAGACCAGGCTGGCCTTGAACTCACAAAGATTCGACTGCCTCTGCCTCCCAAGTGCTGGGATTAAAGGCGTGCGCCACCACACCCAGCTATTTTTAAAATGCCAAGATTTTAAAAGTATTACAAAATGAAAATTTTGTTTTTCTTACAATAAATCATTAACAGTCAATTTAATATAACTATTTAGTTTTAAAAAAAAAACAAACAAACTAGTATTAGGCTATCCCCTATGTCCTGTGACCTATCTAGCCTCAGATTCCTAAGCCTGATATCAATGTCAGGTATGTGCTCCATTCAATTAGAGAGTGGTTGGTTATTCCCATAATACTTGTGCCACTATTGCACATAATGAAAATTTTAGTTAACATGAAAAAATTAATTGGTTACAATTAAGTTTGACAGCCAGCTGAACAAAGTCTCTTGGTTGGGATTTTTTCAATCAGAAAGGAGAAGAAATAAAGGGTTACTGAAATTCAACTGCAGGACTGACTGTAGTCACATGCCACACAATCTATCAGCCACAGGATAGCTCAGATGCCTAGTTTGGACACTGAGACTCCACCACTTATTGGGGTGAGGAATTTAAAGAACTTTATCTCTCCCTGAATTTAGTTTCTTTAGAAAGAAAGAATTCAAAATAGTGCCTGGAATATAGTATGAGTTCAATAAAATTAGCTACAGCTTAAGAGGAAGTGGCTATTACAATAAGAAAGACAAAAGAAAGCATGCTATTTCTAACTAACTTAAACAATAAAACATTTCTTTCTAAAGTTCCTTCAGTAAAGACAGCGAAATAAGCTTTTTTTACAATTCCTCTCAACATACATGAAAAAAATTATAGATATGTTTACATGCACATTATTGATTTTACAGTAGTATTCTCAAGGTTACTAAATACAGTGTAGCAGAAAGTTTTAAAGAAATACATCATATGATGAGAATCATTTTAGATACCTTTTATTGTTATAAGGTTTGTTTTCACAGATTTCAGGTGACAAGTAATATGGAGTCCCTATGCAAGTCCGGGCCAGCTCTACAGTGCTAGAACAACAACAAAACTATTAGAGAAGTGTAAGACAACTAAAGAGATTATAAATTATCACATATACAGTATAATGGAGTCAATCTCACAGAAGACAATATATTAAAATAACATTTAAAGCTGGTACATTACCTATTAAGAACTCTAGCAATCCCAAAATCTCCAAGCTGTACTGTCCCATCTTTGGTTAGAAATATGTTCTGTAACAGATGGAAAAAAAATATTGTTCCAGTCCCATTAATTCTGAGTCAACACTAGTTTTCATAATAACTAATACAGTTAAATAATGCTAGAATAACAATATCCATATGCAAAAGAATAAATATTGTTTCCCACCTCACACATATGTAAAAATGAACTCACACTGGATTCTAGAACTAAATATAAGAATTAAAACTATAAAACTCCTAGTCAGCCATGGTGGCATAATCCCAGCACCCAGGAGGCAGAAGCAGGTGGATAGCTATTAGACTGAGGCCAGTCAGGTTTACATAACAAGTGCCAGGCCAGGTGTGGTTACAGGGAGACTCTGTCTCAAAAAATAAAAAAACAGAGGCTTTCAGGCCACTGTGAAGTTGTTTATATGAGCTTTCAACAATGTTGTCAGCATGCACAAGACCCATGCCAACTAAATCAGACAAAAATCTAGCATAGAACCAGGGAAATGGGCAGCAGACCCCAACCCTAGCTGAAGAACTACTGGCAACTAATTACAGCTGGATGAGGGAGAGTAGATCTTCTTTAAGGGAGTGACTCTAGGTAGGCTGACTAGACTCCAGTGGACAAACTTGCACTAAGGGATACCTGGATACAAGTTCTTGACCAGATAGGACTTAACATACATGACAGAATGCCAAAATTCAGTCAGGAGGTGGTATTGGGGGGGGGTACAGATGGGGAAGGGGGTCTAAATTTGATTAAGATCTATTATATGAAATGCCCAAAAACTCAGTAAATTTTTTTAAAAGACCAAAAAAAAAAAAAAAAAAAACCCCAACAAAAACTATAAAACCCCTAAAAAATAGGAATAAATTGTAATGCCTTTGAGGTTTCTTAGATAATGGTTTCTTAGGTAAGACAACAAAAGCCAAAGTGGAAGGAGGGAAGGGAGGGAGGCAGAGAGGGAAGGAGGGAGAGACAGAGGGAGGGAGAGAGGGGAAGGGAAGAAAGAAATTGGACTTCATTAAAACTTAAAAAAAAAGTTGCAGCCAGGCGTGGTAGTGCACGCCTTTAATCCCAGCACTCAGGAGGCAGAGGCAGGCCGATCTTTGTGAGTTCGAGGCCAGCCTCGTCTACATAGTGAGTTCCAGGACAGCTGGGGCTACAGGGAGACCATGTCTCAAAAAGACCAAAAAAAAAAGTTGCATATCAGGACACCACCGAAAGAAAAAAAAAGGAAAAACAAAACAAAACAAAACCCTACAAATGGGTTAGCAAAGATGGCTCAGCAGATAAAGGTGCCTGCCTGCCACCAAACCTCCATAGTTGTCCTCTGACCTCCATAGATACACCATAGTAGGGGTGGCATGCACACATACATACACACACACACACACACACACATACACACACACAGTTAACTAAATGTAAATAACTTTAAGAAAATGAACAGGCAAACCACAGAATGCGAAAAATATTTGCACATTACATACTTGAAAAGAAACTTATTTCCAGTAAAGAAAAATACTTAAAACTTACAGCTGAGAAAGGAAAGGAAAATAACTCAAATTGACATTGTGGAGTATCCCTATAATCCTGGCCCTTGGGGGTCACAGGAAGGAGGATATGAAATTCAGTCACCTGCAGGTCTATGAGTTTAAGGGCACCCTGACCACAGAAGAGCCTGTGTCAACACCCTACACCTCCAACAGGCAAATAGTCCATTTTAAAAGTAAACAAAAGGTGCATTTTGAGTTCATTTAAATATCCTGAATACAGATCTATATACAGAGTAGTAGTTGTCACCAGGGACTACATGGAGGAGGAAGGAGTGTCAATTACAAATGAGCAGATAGTTTTCCTTTGATGTAATAAAAAAATTCTGCAGAATTAGAGAGATGGATGATGTTTTCACAACTCAGTATGCATGTGAGTCATTAAACTGTAGATTTATTTATTTTGTATGTATTTCCATGTGTATCTGTGTGTACATACCTGCCATGGCATGTGTGTGGCGGTCAGAGGACAATGTGTGGGAATCGGTTCTCTTCTTCTACCATGTGGGTCCTGGGGACTGAATTTTAGTCATCAAGTTTGACTGCAAGCCCCTTTATCTGTTAAGCCATCTCTCCAGGCCCTGTGTACTTCAAATAGGTCAATCTGATGATATGTAAATGTATATCAATAAAACTTTTATTTAAAAGATGAGTTTAGAACAACCCGTCCCCATAAAAAAACTGCCTGAAAATTCCTAAAAATTGGCTTAACTATACGAAGTAACCTTAAATGTTTCCAACAAGGGGCTGGAGAAGTGGCTCAGAGATTAGGAACACTTGCTGTTCTTCCAGAGGACTCAGGCTTGACTCCTAGCACCCACATGGCGGCTCTGTTGCCCTCTTCTGGCCTTCACAGGTACCACACACATACTAGTAAACATGGCAATGAAAACACTTGTACAAATAAAAATAAAACATTTTAATAATTAAAAAATAGAGTTTCCAACAAGGAGTCAGTGAGATGGCTCAGCAGGTAAATGCGCTTGCTACCAAGGCTGGCAACCTGAGTTCAATCCTGGAAGTAACATGGTGTAAGGAGAGAACTGACCCCTGCTGGTTGTCTTCTGATCTCCCCACCTTCACTATAGCATGCACCCTGCCAATAATTTTTTTTTAAAATTCCAACCATTTACCCAACTATATTTTATTCATAAACAGAGATTCAATGCTGCGGGGGCTCTATCATGCACATGTTTCAAGGCCAAATATATCCTTAAAAAGAAAAAAATCTAAAACAAACAAAAAGCCATTTCAGAACTCCAGTGCTCTAGGAAACAATAGAAAGCTGGAGTTCATAGGTTAAAGAAGAATTAAATTCCTATCAGCCTTGAGACTTGTGTCAGGCACATGTTCAATCACAGGACGACAGCAGGGCTGGCTAGAATTAGTAAAATAAGATGAAATAGAATTAGTGGTAGAGGATAGGGAAGGATGTAGGAATGATGGTGCATGAGGCTCTCTCCCACACAGCCCCCCCAACAGCTCCCCCCATCCCACACAGCTCCCCGACACACACAGCTCACCCCCTCCCACACAGCTCCCCCCCACAGCTCCCCCCCACACAGAACTTCCCCCTCCCACACAGCTCCCTTTCCCTCACATAGGTCCCCTTCTTTCCACCATTTACCTTGGGAGTACTGCACTATGTAAAAACATGCACGCCTACAAAGACAAGATGACAGACACTGGACCTTGACATTAAGAAACCTCACTTCCACTTTACTGACTCAAGTCAAACAATGGTGAAACCTCTAGGCAAGAATCAGGTAAAGTTAGGGTTGGAGGCCTGGCTTCATCGCCAGCCACTTCCTCACACCTGAGCTCTGGAAACAAAACATTCATAGAAGAGCCTAGGTAAAAATTCAGTTAGACGCAAAGAAATCTAATATGAAGAGAAAAAAACCACAAAAATCATTAATGACAAATTCACTATGAATACAATTAATCTTATCAGCCAGGGGTCAGTGCATGCCTATAATCCCAATATTCAGGAGGAAGAGGCAGGAGAATCTATGTAAGTTTAAGGCTTGCCTAGTCTACAGACTCTTATTTCAAATAAACACAAATTTATAAAACAATACAATCAAACATGAAATGTAAATATGTTTGGAAATTTGCAAAGAACTTATGATCCTAGCATTCCAGGTGCCAAGGTGAAAGGATTACACGTTCAAGATAAGCATGTGCTATCGAGGAAGAAAAGAGAAAGTGGGGGGATGGGGGTGATGACAAAGAAGTATCCATTAATGAAAGAATAATATATAAAGAAACAAAATACAATTAAGAACCAATTAAGAACAGATATACAGATGTCTCCCATTACTTAGAAAATGGTCATTATAATAACAACTATGTGGCATAAGTACTGGCTACAGAAAATGTAAAGGGCTTTAATTAGGGGCTAAAGATCCAGCATCAAGGTAGAATATTTTTCTTTTTTTAAAAAGTATTTTATTTATTATTTTTATTTTATGTGTATGAGTGTATTGCCTGCATGTATGTGAGTGCACCCATGTCATGCAATGCCATGGAGGTCAGAAGAGGGCTTCAGATTCCCCTAGAACTGGAGTTAAGGACAGTTCGTAGCTGCTATGTGGGTGCTGGAAATCGAATCCGGGTCCTCTGCAAGAGCAGTCAGTGCTCTTAATCGCTGAGCCATCTCTCCAGCCTGGTAGAGTATTTTTCTAGCACATTCAAAGCCCTGGGTTTGATCCCTGGCACCATGGAAAAGAAAATAAGGAAGAAGGGCAGACTGAATTAATTATGAAGAATTCATTTAATAGTCAGTAGAAGACAATGAAAAAATATGAAAGAACGAAGAAGATATTTGAGGTGACAAGATTAAGATGCTCTCAATATGTTTAAAGAAAAATGCAGAGACTGTGAAGGTAGTAACACAGAGCAGTATTTGCAAGAGTGTCAACATTTTCCAGGGTGCTAGAGAGATTATTCAGTAGTTAAGAGAACTTTCTGCTCTTGCGGTGGTCCTGAATTCAATTCCCAGCATCCACATCAGGTGGCTCACAACCATCTGTAACTCCAGCTCCAACACTGGGGATCCAATGTTCTCTTCTCATCTCTGAGGGCACACACACAGCATACACTCACACAGATACATAGGCAAACATATACATAATAATATCAAAAATCGGAAAAAAGAAAATTAAGCCAGGAGTGGTGGTGCACGCCTTTAATCCCAGCACTGGGAGAGAGGCAGAAGCAGGCAGATCTTTGTGAGTTCAAGACTAACTATACATAGTGAATTCCAGGCCAGTTGAGGCTACAGAGAGACCACCTCAAAAAAACTAAAAAAAAAAAAACAAAACTTAAAAAAAAGTTAAACATTTTCCAGAACATTTTCAGAGGTTACATAAATTCTTGAATCAAAAATGCACAACACACCCAGCACTCATGAGGCAGAGGCAGGTGGATCGCTGTGAGTTCAAGGCCAGCCTGCTCTACATAGTGAGTTCAGGTCAGCTGGGACTACACGGAGGCCCTGTCTCAAAAAGATTAAAATAAAAAAAAAAAAAGCACAACATAGTGAATGAAGAGTGAGTCTCACCAATCCACAACTTGGCAAACTTTCAGGACAAATGGTACAAAGGGATTATCTTAAATCTTTCCAGGAAAAAAAGAAAGAAATCATAATGGCTTAAAATTCCTGAATAGCAACACTTGGTGCAGAAAACAAATGAACCACATCTCTGATTTTGTAGGAAAAGAATTTCCTACCTAGAAATTTATATCCAAATTACCCAAGAGAAAAATTATTACCCAAGAGAAAAAGCAATGAAGTCATCTTCAGACATACAAGATCTCCAAAAGTTCACCCACCATATATCAATTTCTTAGATCTATTCTATCACAGGAGAGAGTAAAAGGAGAAAGAGGAGGGTCTGAACCTAAGCAGGAGTGCCAAGGCAGACTGCATACCAGGAGGCTTTCAGGGATCTAGTGAAGGGGCAGAATGAAAGGACAAGACAGTCCAAAGCACAGAGGATCAGGCTCAAAGTCTGGGATCGGAGACAACACGACCCATTGTTCTTTCTGTCCTTGGGCATTTAGAAATTACTGCCAGGCATAGAGGCTCACACCTGCTCATCCCAGTACCCAGGATACTAAGGCAAGAGGATCACGGAGCATCTGAGGCTAGCCTGAACTACAAAGTCAGTTCCAGGTCAGCAACACTAAGATTTTGTCTCCAAGGAAAAAAGGGGGGAGGGGGCAGAAAACAGAAGTTATTATTGACAAAATAGGACAAACATACCTGTGATTTTATGTCTCGATGAAGAATTTTTCTATCATGTACATGTTTCAAAGCCAAACAAATCTGCACAAACCAGTCCAAAATCTAGACAGAAGATCAGATACAAATTTTGAGGCTGCAGTTTCTTTGTACATTGTGAACAATTAACACCAGTCGACACTTAGGCCAAATGACAAGCAGAATGCACATGATCTAAATCTAAAATATCAGAAATGCTGCAGATACATGTCTTACAGACCAAATAAAAGTGGAAAGAAACCTGAACAATGAAAAAGTACATGAGTTTATATTTTTTCTTAGCATGACGGCAGCTGGAAGATTATGATAAGTTGATCTTTTTCTATATTTTTAATATAAATAAAAATCACAAAAGGAACACAACCTGGAGAGGAATTCGGAAGGAGTCTGAGCAACACCTATCCCCATGTTCCCTACACATTAGCACTGTCTTTGGAGCTGGTCATTTGGAAGTAAAACAACTTAGTTTTCACCTCAATGTAACAAAAGAATTCCAATTAGATGGTATTTTTAAGCATAAAAAGAGATGAAATTGTGCAATTATCAAAGAAAACAGGTCAATCCTTTGTAATTTTTTTCTTGAAGCATTTTTAAAACAACACAAAAAATAGCCCTTCAAAAGTCTCAAGATAAAGCCTACTGATGTTTGTTACATAAAATTTAAACAGTTCAGTAACAATTATATCAATTATAATCAATTTAGTAACAATTTGAGAAAATCCTTGCATATAATTAATATGTTGCTAATTCCCTAACATGCAAAAGTTCCTCCACATCACTGGGAAAAATTCTGGTGATGAAAATATGAAGGTCTGTGAGAGGGTTCATCAGCAAAGGCCTGTAGAGCCTGATGACCTGAGTTTGATCTCCAGAACCCACAAATGGAATGAGAGAATCAACTGACTCCCTGAAGTTGTCCTTTGATCTTCACGTGAAGGCCAAGGCATCCACACACATATACACACACATGCACACAAGAAAGTGAATGCTTAAAACTTTAAAAAAGAAATAATAAAATAAGTGACAAAGAATAGAAAGACAAATGACACAAGAGGAAAAGGATGATAAACATACAAAATACTAACTCTTCAGCTTCAAAATAACAACTAAGGAAGGTACTGTTTTAATTTGACTTCAAATATTATGTAATATTGCTCAGAATGTGGTAAAATGTCTTTTCATACCTCATTTGTGAAGAAGTGGTAGATGCATGGCAAACTATATAAAAATTTTAAATTCATATTTGACTTAAATAGAAACTGTAATTTCAAATGTATTCCACAGAAAGAGTATCAGAAATGCCTAACTATGTTTACAGGGGCATCTGCTTTAGAACTACTGGTCAGACCATAAAATATAAGCAATCTAAATGTCCACTGAGGGAACTGATAAAACATTATGATGCACTGTACTACATAGCCACAAGAGGAACGAAGTACCTTATGCACAGCACTTATATACTACTACACTGCCCTTTAAAAAGGATTTATGCTTATATCACATCTGAACTGTATATAACTGTGTATTTGTGTCTGTGAGGGGTGTGTGAGGAGTGGGTGTTAGGGGGATGGGTAAGGGGGGTGGGGTGCGAGTGTGGGCATGGCATGTGTCTATGAGGTGTGTCCCTCTGTGAGCTGTGTGTGCACGCACACATGTGGATGTATGTGTGTACAGATGTTATGCATGCCAACAGGAAGGAAAAGGACACAGAAGGAAACCAATAAATAGGGTTTACCTCAAGGAAACAGATTGCAGACTACAGAATAAAAAACTGGGCCGGGCGTGGTGGCACACGCCTTCAATCCCAGCACTTGGGAGGCAGAGGCAGGCGGATCTCTGTGAGTTCAAGGCCAGCCTGGTCTACATAGTGAGTTCTAGGACAGCTGG